TCCGGGTTACTTTGCCTTTGCTTCTCCTTTTTCTTGGGATCCTCTGCAGCGTTTCTCTCCGGGCTTTTGCCTTGGCTTCTTCTTCTTCTTCTTGGGACCCTCTGCAGTCTTTCTCCGGGCTACTTTGCCTTTGCTTCTTCTTCGTGGGATCCTCTGTAGTCTTTCTCTCCGGGCTATTTTGCCTTTGCTTCTTCTTCTTCTTGGGATCCTCTGCAGCCTTTCTCTCCGGGCTACTTTATCTTTGCTTCTTCTTCTTGTTGGGATCCTCTGCAATCTTTCTCTCCGTGCTACTTTGCCTTTGCTTCTTCTTCTTCTTGGGATCCTCTGCAGCCTTTCTCTCTGGGCTACTTTGTCTTTGCTTCTTCTTCTTCTTCTTGGGATCTTCTGCCGCCTTTCTCTCCGGGCTATATAGCCTTTGCTTCTTCTTCTTCTTGGGATCCTCCTGCGCTTTTCTCCCTCCGGGCTATTTTGGCCTTTGCTTCTTCTTCTTCTTTCTGGTAACCTCTGCAGCCTTTCTCATCCCGGCTACTTTGCCTTTGCTTCTTCTTCTTCTTGGGATCGTCTGCAAGCCTTTCTCTCCGGGCTATTTTGCGTCTTCTTCTTGGGATCCTCTGCAACCTTTCTCTCCGGACTTTTTTGTCTTTGCTTCTTCTTTTTCTTGGGATCCTCTGCAGCCTTTCTCTCCGGGCTACTTTATCTTTGCTTCTTCTTCTTCTTCTTCTTGGGATCCTCTGCAATCTTTCTCTCCGGGCTACTTTGCCTTTGCTTCTTCTTCTTCTTGGGATCCTCTGCAATCTTTGTCTCCGGGCTATTTTACTTCTGAGGGATCCTCTACAGGCTTTCTCTCCGGACTATTTTATCTTCGCTTCTTCTTCTTCTTGGGATTTTCTGCCGCCTTTCTCTCCCGGCGTTTTTGCCTTTGCTTCTTCTTCTTCTTGGGATCCTCTGCAGCCTTTCTCTCCGGGCTATTTTACCTTTGCTTCTTCTTCTTCTTGGGATCCTCTGCAGCCTTTCTCTCCGGGCTACTTTGCCTTTGCTCCTTCTTCTTCTTGGGATCCTCTGCAGCCTTTCTCTCCGGGCTATTTTGCTTTTGCTTCTTCTTCTTCTTCTTGGGATCCTCTGCAGTCTTTCTCTCCGGGCTACTTTGCCTTTGCTCCTTCTTCTTCTTGGGATCCTCTATAGCCTTTCTCTCCGGGCTACTTTGCCTTTGCTTCTTCTTCTTCTTTGGGATCCTCTGCAGCCTTTCTCTCCGGGCTACTTTGCCTTTGTTTCTTCTTCTTGGGATCCTCTGCAGCCTTTCTCTCCGGGCTACTTTGCCTTTGCTTCTTCTTCTTCTTGGGATCCTCTGCAGCGTTTCTCTCCGGGCTACTTTGCCTTTGCTTCTTCTTCTTGGGATCCTCTGCAGCGTTTCTCTCCGATCTACTTTGCCTTTGCTTCTTCTTCTTCTTACTGGGATCCTCTGCAGCCTCTCTCCGGGCTACTTTGCCTTTGCTTTTTCTTCTTGGGATCTTCTGCAGCCTTTCTCTCCGGGCCATTTTACCTTAGCTTCTTCTTCTTCTTGGGATCCTCTGCAATCTTTCTCTCCGGGCTACTTTGCCTTTACTTCTTCTTCTTCTTCTTGGGATTTTCTGCAGCCTTTCTCTCCGAGCTCTTTTGCCTTTGCTTCTTCTTCTTCTTGGGATCTTCTACAGCCTTTCTCTCCGGGCTATTTTGCCTTTGTTTTTTCTTCTTCTTGGGATCCTCTGCAGCCTTTCTCCCCGGGCTCATTTACCTTTGCTTCTTCTTCTTGGGATCCTCTACAATCTTTCTCTCCGGGCTACTTTGCCTTTGCTTCTTCTTATTCTTGGGATTTTCTGCAGCCTTTCTCTCCGGGCTCTTTTGCCTTTGCTTCTTCTTCTTCTTGGGATCTTCTGCAGCCTTTCTCTCCGGGCTATTTTGCCTTTGCTTGTTCTTCTTCTTGGGATCCTCACAGATATGAATATATAATTGTATATATATATATATATATAAGTAAATAAATAGAGCAGCAGACATGTCCGCAATCGGGAAGTCGTGTCGCAAATCGGCCCTGGCTGAGGCTCCTGAACATCTCGCCCTGTTTTCGCTTGGCCGCGAGGGCCGTGAACATCTACTCAGTGTGTGTGGCGTTTGGGGCCCCTTGATCCCGGCTGACGCTGATCAGCTGATCCGCCGATTGGCTGACCGGCTGATGCACAGTTAGCTGCCCGACTTTGCGAGCACAATGTGACAACTGCGTTCTGCTCGTTCTGTACCGATAGCAGCACAGACTCGCTCCGAGTCATCGGGTGCCGATGCTGCAAGCCAGCGAAGACGCCTCAGGCACAAACCAGACTGAACCCAACCTGTTGCAATGTGCCACCCAGCAAATGCAGTCTTACTCCTTGCTTGGCTGCTGAACACACTTTCTGCATGCGAACTGAGAATCAAGCTCCCTGCCGGGTGGTGCTCAATCACCTGGCACCAGTAAACCCTGGGCGAGGCGGGCGAGCCGCCGGAAAGATCCAATGAATTACGAACCAAATCCATTGAAACACCAGCTGCAATACCATTTGATACACTCTGTCCTCACGGAATCACGTCCAGCAAGAAGCCGGTTCCTCGACGCGCCTCTTCAGAGTCCACTGACCATCGGAGCACAGGAGTTCAACCCGTACCGAAAGGAAAGCGGACTGCAAGTGAGTCGGACTTGACTGTCCCGTGATCTGGGGCCGATGTTCTTTCGATATGATTTGCGCCTTCTTTCGATGTGATTTAATTAAACTGTAAAACCCTGAGCGGTCACGCTTTTACTCTTGAACCAAAGGCGCTGCGTCGGTCACATAGTATACAGCTATACAATACTGTGAAAAGCGGAGGATTCCACTCAACTCTCGGTCACAAAGCCCAAGGCAACCAATCGTAGATCAAAGCAAAGCAGCAAAGCAAAGCAAGGATGATCAGAGATTAAAACCGTAAGTTTGACGCTCAGCGGAAAGGCAACACTAGAATACTAGAACCCCCAGGCGCTAGCGGACCTTTTGCTGGACCTGACACAGGGTCGGTCTTGAGCAGTCCAAGCTGCGTAGTGAGACAAAGTTGGCGTGAATCCTAACCAAGATACAGAAGCACATGTACACATGTCCGTGACAAATCACCCCCCCCTCGACGCGAGCTCACGCGTGAGAAGAGCGGAGTTTAGGAGAGTCACGTACACTAGTTGTGCCACACCTCTTCCGGTCAGCTAAGCTTAAAGCGAGAAAAACCATTAGATATGGGTCGGTCTCTGCATCCGGATCAAACCTATGTTTCACTTCTGTACAGACGCAGCCTTTTGTGTCGTCAGGCGCATAGCGAATTGCCGTGTGATCGTTGGCAATCGGATGTTCCATCGGATCTATGCGGGGATAACACACTAGACTCAACGCGCTCAGAGTGTAGACTCGGCAGCATCGAGTGTCCGTGAAAAGAGAGGGACACACGAGGAAAATACCATGGCTAGCCATTGTACCCCTGTGGGTCTTCTCAGCGCGGCGCAGGCAAGGAAGGCTGAGGAAGTAGCGGAAATTGTGCCATAGCCGGGTTTCACCATCAGAATCCGCCTGACTCCATAAACGCGTGAAGCATGGGTCAGAAAGACTCAACCGGATTCACCTTGCAGTGACACAATACGTCGCCACGTAGGTTGACGGTCGTTATCTACGACTTGTGGGGCTGCGGGTGCGGTCCTTATTTCCTCGTCCAGGACCGCCCCTTCTTTGTTTCCCTTATCGCCCTTTCCTCGGCCTTTCTCCTGCTTTCCTTTTCCTTTCTCGGCTTTCCCTTTTCCTTTGCCCTTCGTCGCTGCCTCACGTCATCAGCCTCATCGATGAGGCCTGTCACGTTGGATCCGGTTTGGAACTTGCCCTTAGCCGTAGTCTCTTTGGCTGGGCCCATCGTTCGAGATCGCGGCTCCGAAGAGACAGTATCGGAAGGAGCTGGCGGAGCAACATCCGTTGCTTTAGCAGCATACTGTTGCGTGCGTCCCCGTGCTTCTGCACTCTTGATCACCTGAGCAGGTGCTGGTCGCGCAATCGAGGGAGCCCACTTTTCATCGCGCGGCAACTTCGATGGCGGATTTGACGCAGTGCAAACGCTAGGTGCAGGAAACTGAGGGTTAATCCGCTCCTGTGTTGCAGCAGGCGTACTTCCGGGCGATGCTGCTCGCCCCGTCCCCGTATTCTCGGCACAGGGAACAGTAACGCCAGCTGCTCTCATATTGATATTGTCATCGGGATTCGCGCCCATCGCGATGATGACACCCGCGGCCTTCTTCCTGATGATGGAAAGCGTGCTCGGCGAATGATACATGCGAATGATGTCCTCAATCGTTGGATTATCCAGATCCGGCTCCGGAACCCGAGTCTTCATTCGCAGCACCGAGGGCAACTGCATTTGATCGGAGTATGCTGCCCTCCCCAACACTCTTAACGGCTCTCCATCAGAATGAGCGACGCTGTAGCCCGTATGCCGATGTGATTTTCGAGTCGGCAAATTTGATGGCGGCGGCATGTTACGAGGCAGTGGCGGAGTCGTCTCAGGAGCGACGCCTCCGAGATGCTCTCGTCCGGTGCGTTGTAATGTTGGATCGGGTCGTACCGCTCGATCGAGCTCAGTATCATCCTCATCCTCATCATCTGGAGGAATGGGAATGGCATGAGCCTCGGGAATCGGCGCTTGTCTTTGTTCGGTGACCTGCACTCTGCGCTGAGGCGTAGGGTCTCGCCGTCGTGCCTGTCGAGCCGCAACATCGAACACTCTCGGAGGATCATCCAGTTCATCGGGTAGAGCCTCGAAGACATCCTCAGCCCTTTTCATCAGGAGCGGGTCAGTGCTCTTAGCATCGGGAAGCTGATCCTTTACTCCTTCAACAAGATTGAAGAATGTCTTCTCTGTCGCACGATCATCGTCGAAGCATTCTTTTATCTTGATAGAGTGATCGCGAACGAACTCCTTGAATTCCTTACGCGTCTCTTCGGCGTTTCGGCTGCATCAAGGAGTGCCGTATTCCCCTCAGCAATAATCGTGAATCGGGGATCAGAGTGATGCGGAATAAGTTTCCGTCCTAAGGGATCCAACTCACGCCAGTTGATGGCTTGGACGTTGGACTCGTCTTCCCCTTTGCCTTTCCCTTTGGGCTTCTCACTTGCCGCTGCGGCTCCTTCGATCTCTTCTGCTTCATCGTCAGAGATATAGCCAGGCTCACCTTTTGTCGGAATGCCGTAGCATGTGGTAAGGGTAACCTTGGCCAGGAGCGCGGAAAGGCTCTCACTATCGACACGCATGTAACGCTGATACTTTTGCGTATCCGTGATAGTGGCACGGAATTCATCCAACGTTCCAAACTCGGTGGAGAGTCGAATGTGCCGCCTCATTGCCAGATTGGCGTTCTGCAAGGGCAGATGTGCAAGTCGGATCTTTTCTGCCATCTCTGGGTCGATGGTGTAATCGACCGTCACACCTGTGTAAAAGGGGGAGAGATATCCTCGCGACAGGCAGACTCGGTATGCGCGCTGGCAGTGAATCGACCAACGTGCATAGTAGCACAACGGCTTTTCGCGACATGTGGCGAAGACCGCTCCAAAGTGCTTGACGAGCGTGGCAGCACATGCGATCGACTGTGAGTTGAAGAAGTCCTCCACTCCACATCGAGCTTCCTTGCCAGTGATACCGGCAACAAGCCTCTCAATGGAAATGTCTAAGCGAATGGCGCCTTGAATCGTATCGCGCACGCTTCTCTTGAACAGTTCCACTTCCTTCGGCGATGTGTCAGCTGCGGTGCATTTGATCGGTGGCACTCCGAAGAATGCGGTTTGCCTATGGTCCTCAGCGAGAGACCTAGACACCGGGAAATTCCTCAGCTGCTTGATCGCAGGAAACTCGTGGAGCTGGAATTCGGTAAGCTCGTTTCGCTCGATCAGATCGTTGAGCCACTCAGCATGACTTCCGTAATATTCAACCTGGAATATGTTTCCAAACACAAACCGTGCTCAAAGTTTCTCGTGCAGATATAAAATTACTTGCAATCGTATTTATGGCAAGCGTGATAATAATCACAATCGCAATCTGTGAGATCCAGAAGTCGCTCTTCTTTTTTCTTCACACAAAAGCTTGGTTGCGAGAAGGGGAAACCTTCGTCGAGCCTCCCGGCCGCCTCAAACGGCCGGGCTAGGCGAAGAAACTTCCCCCAGCGACGAGCCAGTGCTTCAGCGGCTCACAAATCAGAGGCAACTGCAAGCACTACTCTTACACATGTACTGTAAAATAAACGACATGTGAGAAAAGCGTGAAGTAGAAAAAAAGAAACTTTCGCAAGCACTATTTCAAAACCAAATGGTTCTTGAAATTTTGTGTTTGGAAAAATAAGGTGATTGTCACCTCCGGTGAAATAGCACATGGGTTCACAGGATTGGCGTAGAACATCCCATCAGGATAGTGAATCGGCTTAGTGCAAGAGTGACACATGTGGAGACCAACCGGGAATGAAGCTCCGCACATGGGGCAGTCGAAGCTAGCGAGTGGCCACGTTTCTCGTTTGTGGTCTCCTCTCTTAGGGCCAGTGCCAAACTTCGGTCCTCCGATGTATTTGAAGGCCGTGTTGAACACTAGAGATCCCGTATCCATGAAGTATGCGATCGGCATACATGCGAGAGGGATACTGTCCTTGATCGCATAGTACCCTCTCGGATGGAATGTGATCGGATTGATACCCGCCGCAATCATGTGCAAATCAATCGCAAACACAATCATGCGGTTGGATCCCATTCCTTCGGGGAGCATGCTTTGTGATGACGCGGTGTTCGAGAGCGTCTCACGTCCCGGGTTCATTCGGACGTTCATGTATACCTCTTCCCACTCGTTGTTCTTCCCAGACCCAGGGGCATACGGGAGCAATGTAAGGAAGAGCTGCCCCTTCGGGGGATTGAGCTTGCAATCGTTCATGTATCCGAAGAACTCGCGAATCGTTGCGCATCCCCATCCATACTGGGGATGGTATCGGGCCACATTTCGTCTCCTCTCGCCATTGACATAATGGTCTTGAGCGAGCTGAGTGAATGGCCCGTGCTGACACTTGATCAGCAGTCGGAATCGGTTGAAATTATCGGGACCGAAACCATAGGTTGCTCGGATGCCAACAAACTGTGGACTTCCATCGTCGTTGATCGTCGAGTAGAAGAACTCAAACATTCGGTTGTTGTCCGTCCGAGCAATCTCCGTAATGCACTGGATGGTGAGCTCACTCGGCTTATCGTTATCATCCAGAATGCTAGTCTGGAGAAGCGTCCGGCCGCTGAATTCGCCAGCGTTGGCCTTCATGTATTCCCTCTCGCGTTCCATGTACATCGGAATGACATCGAAAGCGATGATGCCACTCTGGTCGAGGAATGAATACAATGGGACGCCCCTCTCTTTATCCTGGGGGCGATTTTGTGCTCCGACGGCAGTCGCGGACGGATACTCCTTTGTTTGCGTCAGCACTCGGAACAGCAGCTTACGCACCAAACTGATCATGCCTGCGTCCGGAATCCTGGCAGCAGGGATGTTTTGTGCGTCGTCAATGAGCAATCGGCTGCATGACACAGATGTTCCGCCGATAGATCGGTATTTCGCCTCTTTGGCATTGTAGGCCCGGACAGCTTCATGAATCTCGCGGCAGTCCTCGTAAGATTCCGGTCGGAGGAAAGAATCGTATTCTCCTTTGAGCGGTTTCTTGTGAAGTGCCACGTCCAAGTACACTGTCTGATTCGAGGACAGCATAGCAAATCGGCGCCTCGAATACTTGCGCTGTTCGTCGGTCGGTGGGAGACAGGTCGCGGAGACCAATCGACCATGGACGGAGTCATCGATGCCCATGTCGAGTCCCGGGACGACGAAATCTGGCAGCGCAATCGGGACAGACGTCATTTCATACTGCACGATCGGCGCAATGGAGTCAATACCCCTTTCGGGCAGCTGATCAGGGCGATGGATCGTTGTCGCCTTGATACCAGGGCCCTCGATCCGGCAGTTTCTCGGATCATTTGCCGCCTGATCGGCTGTGGTGCTGGCCGGGTCAATATCGACTTCCGGTCCCCGAGCACCAGAAAGCATGGCACCCTGAGCAGGCATGACATTCGGAGGACTGGAACGCACGCCGGTTTCCGGAGGGTTCTCAGCGGTTCGGGCAGCTGGTGGCGGGGCCTTGCCGGGGACCTCGTCATGCAGCTCCTCTCCGCCACCCATATCAGCGTCCTCCTCAGGTTTCTGCTCAGGCAACTGATCGGCCGTGTCATCATCCATCTTGGTGTCATCGTCATCCTCCTTTGCACTCTCTTCGGACGCCCTTGGAGGTGCTGCCGCTGTAGGCGGAGGAGGAGGAGCCGTGTTTGGCGGGGACGGCGTTGCCGTGCGCACAGATGCGGCACTGGCCTGCTCGGTGGACGGAAGATCGTTGTCCGCAGCGCCTTCGCCCTGACTACTCAGGGCGCCTGAGGCGTCACTGCGACGCGAGGAGGAAGCAGCAATAGATCGGGCGTGCCTCTGGAACTCGTTCGCAATGAAACCTGCAGTGTTTCGCAGCTGTACCGCGACACTGCGCTGGAGCTGGGACAATCTGTCATCCCCAGTTCGGCCAATAGTGCCATAGCTCAAATCATCGGTGAGCCCCATTAGGCTCTGCACCGGGTCTTCTTCCGGCTTGCGGAATTCGGTCACTCGTCGTTGCATGGCGAAGCCCGGCGGCAGCTTGAGGTCCTCTCTCGTCAACCTCGCCGCTGTGTTATTCACCAGGGCAACTCGCATGGACTGAATGACTTTTCCGGGGGTAGGCGCGATGAGGTCCGGCCAATCATCGGAAGTCGGAACCTCAAGGTCCTCTGGTTTGAACACCATCTGTTCAAAGGACATCGCACCCATGCCACGGTGTCGGATGGCAATCTGCAACGACTGGTATGTGTTGAGAAGCGATCGAGCCATACCATACGTCGAGGGAATGTGCGGATGGAACACAGGGAGGGTTGACATGCTTGCAACCACTGCATCCAGGTTGGAAATGATCGCACCAACCTTAGCTTCAAGCTCCCCCCTGTTTCCATACTCTGGGGTCCATCGTGCATCGATGGCAGACACAGTCTCACCAGTGTCTCGGTTGACGAGCACAGGCGTGAATCGGTCGCTGGCCATCTCCCTGATGAGATTGCTGTTCGATTCAACCCGACGTCTGCCTTGAGCCAGTCGGTTCGTGACAGCGTCAAGCGCATAGTCACCCGGAGGATACAAGGCACCCTGAAACACATTGTCATCGCTCATGTTCGGGTCCAAGACCTTGGCTAGCCCATCGGCAATGGATCGAAGATGTTCGACATTCTCAACACCGGCGGCGCCCTTTGCCACTTCAGCGACATGCGCTTTCATTGCCGCAGCTTGCTCGCGGCGAGCTTCAGCTTCACTGACTTGGCTTTCGAAGTGCGCATAAACTTGTCGATTCTCGGCAATTGGCTTTGGCTTCTTCATCGTGGAGAGAGGGATCGAGGGCACGGCAGGTGGTCGTGCAGCGTCCCGATTGGCAGCGACAGTTCGCTCGGCATCCCGAGGAGTGGGCATTTTCCCGAATGCCTCAGTCATTCCTTCGCCCATTGAACTCCTCATCGGACTCCTCCTTCTTGACTGCGGGCATCGCCGCGTCACCATCCCCTTGCTGTTCGTCCTCATCGGAACTGCTGCTAGATTCTCCATCGTTCATGGCAGCCGGAGCAAGGCCGGGTGATACTGGCATTGCCTCGCCAGGCACAGGAGTAGCTGGCAGCTCAATCGGATCCGGATGACGAACACCCGGTAGATCCGCCAATGTTCCCTGTTCCTGTTTGATCGGATTTCCGGGAGCTGTCGGACCTACGTCGTCAGGCATATCGTCATCGTCGTCATCATCGAAACCAAGCCGAGTCATATCAACAGTCTCTGCGGCTTGATGATCGGCGCCGCGATCTGCACCATCGATGAGGTCCTGCACAGTGGAGTGCACAATGGCCTTCACCGCGCCCGTCGAATTCTCTTCCGGGACTGGGGTGCGTGCCCACATTTTATCGGCAGCGATCTGATACTCCCGGCGGGTCCCGTAAGACGGAAACCGTGCGAGAGCCGCAAGAGTGAACATCGAGCAGATACGGGTACACAGGACTCCAATCGTTTTGGACTCATGCATGATGTGATATCCCTTCAGGTACGGCAGACCTTCCAGGATAGCGTCAAACGACAGGGTAAGGAAGTTGGATCTCCTGATCTCGTCCCAGATCGATCTCATCTCCTCTCTGTATTTCTCGAAGAGAGGGCCAGGGAGAGTCGGAAGATACACCATGCTCGGTGACACCGGTCCGCAAAGGGACACCGATCCGTAGATCGTGTTATACTTCTCGAGAGCATCCCGGGCGGTCGTTTTGGCATATTGAGATCGTGCCATGTCGATGTCACCAGTTAGCTTGTTCCAGCCCTGGTCTATCTTCCACAGATCTTCTCCTCTCCAAAGGATGAGGATGTGCACATTCGATGGCGGGATGGAAGTCTCGCTCTGCATCATCGCGAGAGTGTCGACCATATCCTTGAGCTTGTTGTCCTCACCAAACGCCTGCACGCGCACCTCGGAATCAGAAAACCCAAAGTTCGTCAGTGCGCTTTTCAGATGGGCGTTCATCTCACCATCGTGCCAGGATTTGGCAGACTTGAAGGACAGCAGGCCATCGTGCATGACAACGAATCTCTGCGGTTTGCTGGGCACCGCCGGCTTGATCGTTGGCGGAGCACCCCCAAATGCAATCGTGGAGGCCATGGTCGTGACCGTTCTGACTCCATGGATCGATACGGCCACAAGTGCATCGGCCGGGCTCCAAATCGGCGCGCTAACGATATCCGTTGTTCCTTCTTCGCTGTACGGGATACTCTTGAGGCTCTTGGCGGGCGTGTAGCCGAAGTTTCCAAGCATGACACCGTAAGCCTTTCGGTAGTGTCTGCACCATGCCTCCCATTCCTTGGAGGGTCCTCCGACAATTGTCTCGAGCCTTGCAGGCTTTGGCAAACCTTGGCTTCCTTCCTCTCCCAGGATGGGTGCTCGAAGCTGAAAGAATGGAGCAAGCTCGAATCGGTAGCTGGAGGACTGAAGTTCGGATAGCAAGGCATACCTGCCACCGACAGTGGCGTGCTCACTGGTCTCGTGAGAGTCAGGCATCCAGTGATTGCGGCGAAGCACTGCTGGGTTGACAGTGACTCGCTCCGTCGCCTCACTGCCACCCGCCGCAGCCTGATCGTCAGCCGCGGTCGCCCCAGATTGTTCTGTCTCGCTAGAAGCAACCTGTTGAGTAGCGTTGCCCCCCTGAATCGTGAGGTCGGCAAACTCGACACTGTCGCGAGCGACGCTTTCTCCCAACAGCTTCAGAATGCGAGGATCGATCGGGCTCGCCTCCATCCAAGGGTGCCAGGCCACGGCTTTTGTCCCGTCGGCACTGAGGAATCGATGACCATGGATGACGTATCATCCAGAAGGCGGAAGGGCCTGAACGCGATCCCGCACAGCTCGAGAAATCGAGTTCCGACGCGAATCGTTTCTGGGATCCTCCCAGCTTCTTCGTCGTGCGACCGTGGCTGTTCACCACAGTCCGGGAGACGCAGATCATCACCTGGAACCAGTATCCTCCGCCGAGGTATGTGCCAGACGCGTAGCTGCCGGCAGCCTCGGAAGCATGTCCAGTCACCTAGACGCAGGGTTTGTGACTTCCATGATCGTCCGTCACGTAATCCTCCCCGAACAGACCTCCGTGTGCAAGAATCGACCAGAGGTATCGGAGGTTCGTTCCGTGAAGGAACGTTCCCTGAGGATCGTATATGTCCGAATTCATCGCGGGGACATACACCCATCCATCAGTCGGGCGGATGGTAGTCTGCCCCGCACCGTCCTCATAGGTCATAGGGGTGCTGGCTCCCCAGTCGAGCGTGTCATCGATGCTAACGCACCGGCCGGGGTAGGCCTCAACCATCGCTTTCATGAACGAGACCCACCCGCGCATCGACGGGGTATTCTCATCGTCGTCTTCGTTGCGAAAGGCGGCTGCTTCCCCGATCCCATTCGCATCCACGGCAGGAAGATCGTAGCCGTGTTCCTTGCGATCGTTATCGAGGTGAGTCGCTTGCTCTTTCAAAGAGTCCAGCGTGGGAAATCGGTTAAGAGCCTTGAGTGCCAGAAACGCTCCAGGGATGAAAGAAAGCGTCGATCTGAGCTGCAGAAATCCCTTGAAGAACTTCACAGCTTCAACCTGGCTGACCGCCTCCCTTGACAACTCAATGGGCGACAGCTTGGTGAGGTCGTTGTGTTTGATACTCGTATCGGTCCTCAACCATCGCTGTTCCGCAGTCGAACTGCTGTATTCCAGCTCGCAAGAGGCGACGGGATATAACAGGTTCCCATGAGACGGAGCGTATCGTTGCTCAGCGTATCTCGGGATCCTTTAAAGCTCTGCGCTTGGAAGAGCATACAGTGGCGAGCCAGCGCCATCGTAAGGCCTACGCCTCCGCGAGCCAGAATCGCAGGATTGAGAGCATCATCCTTCGGTGATCTCATCTTTGTTGATCACGAAGAGATTAAGTTTGGTACTAAAGCCTATCTGGCTTTGGTTATCATTGATGGTGCGTCGAATCTCCTGTGGGCTACGGCTCTCACAAGCCTGGAAGCGCCAGAGACTCTGGGAGCTTTCCGACAATGGACAGAGGAGAACAACTGTGTTCCTAAGGGAATCGTAGGAGATCAAGCATTTTTCACGCCACAGTTCATGTCCTATTACAAGTTCCATGGCATTACTCCTTATCCATGTGGACCGCGAACTCCTTGGCCTAATCGAGCTGAGACCGCAGTGCGTCTTTTCAAGCGCACGTGGGCCATCATGGCAAAGGCCTTGGCTGATGAAGGTTATGCAGAAAAGGTGACTGTTCGTCAAGCAGTCAAGAAGGTGGCATGGGCAAGGAATTGCCAGCTGACTGTCTCAGGCTATTCTCCTTTGGAGATAGCTACTGGAAGACGTCCACCAGATTTGTTTGACGTGGAGAACAGTTCTCCTGAACAGCTTTCTGCTGAACCTGCCGAGGAGGATCGAACCACTCTGGAACTCCAGAGGATTGCCATGCGGGCTCATCAAGAGGCCAGACAATCACTTGACTTTCGGAAGGACCTTGCACGAAGAGTTATGCCGTCTGATGGTCCTTACTCGAAGGGTGACTGCGTGTTCGTTTGGCACAAGGATGAGTCGAAGAAGAAGTCTGAAGGAACCTGGGTCAGAGGTATAGTCGTGTCACAAGAAGGTGCCATGGTGTTGGTTGAAGTTCATCGTGCCGTTCTTCGGGTTAATCAGTCGAAGGTCAGGCGTGATGGAGATCCGTGGCATGATGTGGCCATTCCTCTGAAGAAAGATGAGGTCCCGAGACGCTCTTCTCAGGAAGAGGCACTCGACCGCATCGGCGACGATATTCTTGATCGTGCCGGTTCTGGGTTCTGCTATGAGCATGAGATCTGTTACCACACTCTCACTTCAGGCAAGAGCGATTTCGTTGAGATCACACCTCGCCTCACCGGGCTTACTGCGTGCACTGTCCATTCTGGACTTGATGCGAGTGAACCTGTGTTGTTTGGTGAATGGAACGCCAAGTCTATTCAATCTTCGATTGAGGCTGCTTGGCAAGTGATCTTGAAGGCCGAGCCTAATCACATTTTTATTCATCCTGTCATTCCTGATGGTTGGCCCAGGAAGGCCGCCAATGCCTTCTGGCACTTTTGTGCCGAAGTCTGCCGTTGGCAAGATGACAAGGGTGATGGATACTTCGTGACCATCATGTATCCTTCTCATTGTTGGTTCTGGCTTTCGCAGAGTAGTCGCTCGCTGAAGTGGAGAAGAGGACTTTCATTCCACACCTTCAAGAACCGTGGTGTACTTCCTTCAGGGGGAGATGACCACGGTCAGCATCAACATGGTGAGCTTTCTTTTCTCACTAATTTGCCTGATGGATCATTTGGCCGGTTGGAGTCGTTGGAGGAAGTCTAGTGTCTGCGTGCGGATACTTCTGTCTGTTGTGTGGGGCGTAGGCACGTAGCGAACCCTGAACTGTATGTTTCACCTCGCGGTAGCTCGAGAAAACATTTCTTCAATTTGTCGTCACACAGTTTGAAATATTTCATTTGTGTTTCGACCCTTTTAATTTACATGCTTTGCACTTTCATGCACGCATGGAATTGTGTGAAGCGACTACATCCGAAGTCAGGCATCAAGCTTGAATTTTTAGAAAGGGGCGGCGGACCGGTGCATGGACTCGCCCGCGTGCTCTGAGAGCGGTGCTGCGAGCTGCAGCAGCTCTACTGCGGAAGCCATCCACGATCTGATCAGGGCGCACGAGCTCTTACGGCATCGAGTCTTGCACCTGGAGGAGAGGTTGCGCTCTCTAGAAGACAACTCTGGAAATACGCGCGATACTCTCGGCCGCCTTCAGTCCGAGAATACTCGTACCGAGCATCGCCTGTCTTTTCTCGAAAACCTGCTGCAGAAGTTCCGCCAGCTACTTGCTTCTACTGTTCCGCCTGCGTGAACCATGTCTCGCTCTGCTTCTGATGAGGAATGGCCTTGCTCAGATTTTGCTACCGATGAGGACTGGCCCTTTGCTTCCGAGGATTCGTCCGAGAAGGTGGAGGTCTTGGTGGAAGAAGAGCCCTCTGCTGCTCCGGCTTCTCCGTGGCCGCCGCTTACCGTTGCCGATTTGCAGGCTTTGCAGGTGGAGTGGGGCCGGAAGTTTTCTGCTATGGCTGAGGACCTCGCTAGCCTTCAGTTCCAGGTCCAGATGCTCGAGAAAGCCAACGAGAGCCTCCGTGCTGAAGTTCAGGATCTTCGTCGCGAGGTCTTCGATCTGAAGTCCACTGAGTGGCCGCTGCTGCGCCGCTTGCATAGCCATCTTCGCTTAGGTGTGGTGTCCTAGAAGGTTTCTCCACACCTCAATTTTGACTTCGTTTTGCGCCATGCAGTCTCGTTTACAGCCTTGCAGCCCAGCCTCTCGGGCTACTTGCTGCGCATGACCGAGTTGTGCCATGGGAGTCGCAAAAGGACAGACAAGAGTCGTCTCAGCTTCACGCGGATGCCTTGTTCTGCTTGCAGCCCCTAGCCTGACCCCTACGGCATGCGAAGTCTATCTTGCCCGTGCCGGCCTTCGGCTGAGTCGCGGAGTCGGGGTAGCTCTCTATTCAGTGATGTCATGTCATGCTTCATGCAGTCACCACATGCCATTAGTTTTGTGCAACTGCACTTTCCTGCTGGGCCCGCCATGGATGTGCCGCGGCCTCGGGCTGGCTCCAGCCTTCGGGGATCTTCTTACGACTCGCTTTCGACTTCCAGTTCGGGTTCTTCTTTGCCGAGTGACAGCTCTGGGGATCCGACTGCGTTTGTCATTGTGCGAGTGCGCCCCTACTTCTTCCACGTTATCCGATTGCGCCGCTTTGCAGCTTGTCGTCGGCCTTTCTGGAATGCTATTGTGCGAGGACATCTGGTCTCCTTCACCGCTAGCTACCGCTTCGCATGGGTCCTTGTGTACTTGGACATGCAGGCCTGGACTTCATTGCTGGCAGCCGCGCGCACTACTCATGTTCGCTTGAGGCGCTTCTTTAGGTTACGCCCCTAGGTGCCGGATGCCCCTGTGTTTCCCGGTCCCCTGGGTTCTTTGTGGTTTAGGCCTTCCCCGCGTTTCGCTCCTCTGCGCGGTCTTCTTGACTGCATGCGGGGGACAGGAGAGGCCAAGAAGGACCGCGAATCTTCTTGCAAATCAGTGATTTAAAATAATGTCGTCCCGCTTGATCCTTGTGCTCTCCATGTTGAGACATGTTGCGATGACTCAGATTGATGCCTGCTGCAATTGATACAGATCAGCAGTTTTGTCCGAGCACAGCCATGTTTGGTAGACCTGATGCGTCACAGGGCTTTGGCCATGACGAGGAACCTTTCGATCAGGACGACTCCGATCGCAAGGACCATGTGAGCTCACCTTGGAACTCTGACTTTGGTGTGGGGTCTAATTTTGGAGAGGGTGAGAGAGATGAGTCATGGTCGCATGTGGAGCCGGTGGCATCAGATGAGGCTCGTTGGTATCAGGATGCAAGGGTCGATGATTCGGCTGAGCCGTGCCAGCCGAGTGCGAGCAAGTGTAGGAGGACCGCTTGGAAAGATCCCGCACCTGTGCACCCGGCAGTGGCACAGGCTCTCTTTGAGGAGAAGAGGAAGTCTTCGATCAGACTCCCTTGGGAGTCGGATTTTGGCAAAGCAATTTTTGGGAGCGTCGGGAATCCGCTCGTGGCCATCCCATTCCATCTCCCCACGATTGGGCGATCAGACATGTTTGCTCAGATTGCGGTGTCTTCGTCTTCAGGTTCTGATCCAACTTGGTACAAAGAAAACCCCTTTAGAGCCAGACGACTTTTCGCCACGAGGATGGCGAGGTCGGAGGATCAGCTTCGTTCGGCTGCTCTGGCCCGAATTAAGGAGATCGTCCTGTACGATCCCAATGACTCTAAGCTGGGGCGGTCATTGTTGGAGACCAGTGGAATGCTTGTTCCTGAACACCAACTTGCCATGACCTTCATGGATGCCTTTGCCAGGAAGTCTACGAGTACTCTTTCCAAGAGGTCATGTGATTACTTGAGGTTCTCCCGCTGGCAGGTCCAGGACAATCATGCTAGACCATTGAATGCTGTTGAGAATGACCTGTACCTCTATGTTTGTTATCTGCGAGACGCTGAGTGTGCTCCCACGGCGCCTGCTGCATTCATTTCGTCATGGAGGTTCTTTCACTACATGACCGGCAGCAACGCTGTCCCTGACATCATTTCGCAGCGAGTTGAGGGTGCCGCGCACTCCTGCTATCTCAAGAAGGCTCCATTGAGACAGGCGCCGCCTCTGAAAGTTCCCATTGTCATGAGAATGGAGGTGATTGTCTTCGAGGGATCGGACTTACACGCTACCATAGCGGGGTTCGCACTGTTCTGCTTGTTCTCGGTTGCCCGATGGTCCGATGCGGCCAAGGCTACCGATCTCACCATCGAGAACCACGGGGCTATGTGTCTTGTGGAGGCTGTTATGTTGGGCCACAAAACAGCCAAGCTTGCAGACGATCGGGCCACTTTCATGCCCCTCATTGCCCTTGGGCACACCTTCTCTTCGGAGCCGTGGGCCTCAGCATGGATGTCGGCGCGAACCCGATCAGGAGCTGACGCCAAAACCATCCTTATGCCAGCGTGGTCGGAGCAAGCTGAGATGTGGTTGGACAGGCCCATGACTTCAGCGGAAGGGTGTGCGTGGCTTCAAGAGATTCTTGCAGTCGATGCTGATGAGTCATGGAACCTCGACAGGGTCACGACTCATGCCTTGAAATCCACCCCGTTGTCATGGGCCACAAAGAGCGGTCGATTTGATAAGCATGAAAAGCGCATTCTGGGGCACCACTCCGCCCCCGACGAGCGGATGATCATCACATACGGGAGAGACGTGATGGCCCCAGTCTTGTCGAAGCTCCAGCATCTGATTGACCTAATCCGTACAGACAGGTTTGATCCAGACCTGTCCAGGTCTGAAAGGATGGCGAACCTTGTGGAACGACTCCACGATGAGGATCGTCGGGTCGAAGACCTGAAAAGGTTTGACGACTCTGAACAGTCAGATGTATCATTTGCAGACCACGTCGGCATCGATGAGCGCCCCAGCCTGGTGCCAGGGATGTCTGATCGCCCTGAGCCGCCAGAGACGGGCACCTTCGTCCGGCATCGGATCTCATCCATTGTGCACGCTGTCATGGTCCCTGCCTCGTTGTTGAGATGCGGGAGACCCTTGAACAGCAACTATGATGCGTGCAGTTTCGACCCCCAGCAGCCGCGTGAGGATATCTTCTGCGAACAGTGCAGATTGGCGCGAGTCCTGGGGGATTAGACACGGAAAGGTCGAGCAGAGACGCAAACATCGATGCAGCGCATCTGTGTTATAGCCATGCTTGCTGCCTCCGTCGTGAGCCTTTGCCTGGAGTGACACGTTTTTGTTCAAGCCTGATCCTCGGACGGACGCCATGACTTCCACTCTGCTTGAGTCGGAAGCCGAGTTCTTGGCCAGAGCCCGAGAAATCGGTATGGATGATGGTTTCGTCAAGTCGCTTCAAGCCGCAGGGATCAAAACCTTTGGAAAGCTGGCGTACATCTGTGCTGTCAGCCCGCAGAGTGGTGATGACACCCCTCTCATTCAGGCGGTGCAGAAGCTCTTGTCTCGCGACCTCACCCCGGGCGAGCTTCCTGACCTTCGACGATTGTGGTTTGAGGCCAACACGTTTGCCCTTTCTGATCTCAAGTCACGGGTGGAACGTTCTTCTCTTGATCCACCTCGAGAGCTTCCTTTGGCCGAGCGCCTGACTCGCCTACAGAATCAAAAGGCTCGGCTATCAGGGATAGTGTTCACCGAACGGGTGGAACCGGCGCACAGCCTCATCGACAAAATCCAATCCATGGTCGATTCCGGGACGCTCACATACCTACCGCCGCATAAGTGCCCATCAAGAGCTTTGGAAATTTCCAGTGACAAACCTTCTCAACAAGTTACGCTTGATGCTCAAGGAGGCTTGAAAATATCGAAGAAACACTCCGACCTGGAATGCGACGTTCGAGGAGAACTTCGGCTTCGGGAGGCCTTCACCAGACGGGCGCTGGCCTTCGACCAAATCGGTCTCATGTCGTTTGCTGCCCAAGAGGCGTGGCACACCTACTTGTTTGACTCAGTGACTCGTGACCCTCCACCGGGTCACAAGTTCACCAGCATTGCCCAGGCTCTGAACGCTGACCGCGAGCTGTGGCAGATTCTTGCTCAGGAAAGTCGTGGCTCCATCAAGGTCATCGGGGGCGTCAAGCCCCCCCTGGATGTCTTCATCGAGCGCCTGCAGACCCATACTCGTGTCAATGTTTGCTTGGCCAACCTTCCGCAGGCCACCGGTGGAGGCAAAGGCGACAAGGGCGATCGCGGTGGCAAGGCCGATGGCAAAGGTGACCGCGAAGGCAAAGGCCGTGGTGGTCGCGGCAAAGGTCGTGGCGACAAAGGCGGTCAGAAGTGCAAGTGGGATGATGCTCAGGTGGACCCCAAGCGTGCCGAGATCTTGCAGTTGCTCAAGGAGATGCCTAAGGACTGTGTCTCGCGCATGCCCAAGACTCGTCAGTTCTTATGCGTGCTGTTTCAGCACGGCAAGTGCCCTGATCAGTCCAAAGCCCGATGCGACCGCGGCTTGCACAATTGCTGGCATAAGGACTGCCTCAAGAAAGGAGTGCCGTACTGCGAGTGCCGTCACTCTTGACTAGGCCGCTCAGGCCTGCTTATTTCCGAAGCACCGTGCAAACTTCAAAAGGAATATGTGAAAGTCGAATATCATAAAGTATGAATTCAACAATCCACTCTTTCCAATGTATAAAAATTTGGGACTCTCTGCAATCGGACTCTTTCTTTCGCAACTGGGGCAAGGTGCTGGCAGTCTGAGTCATAGGCTCAGGGATAGGCTCTCCTTGTCTTGGCATTCGTTGGCACTTGCCCAAGGGGAGGGAGGGCGGGACAAAAATTTTCCTGCTCGCAAAGCTTGAGGGTTCATGCACGGCAACAAAGACATCGCGCAAACCTTCATGCTAAACTTGGCATGTACTGAAAAAGGGTTCGTGCCGAACAGCAGGAAAAATTTTACAGTAAAAGTTTTCACTAATTTCGTTTCAAACGAAATTTGCTTTTGGAAATAAAGGTTTCATCCTTGTTAGAGGAGTTCGACCTTATTTCCGAAGCACCGTGCAAACTTCAAAAGGAATATGTGAAAGTCGAATATCATAAAGTATGAATTCAACAATCCACTCTTTCCAATGTATAAAAATTTGGGACTCTCTGCAATCGGACTCTTTCTTTCGCAACTGGGGCAAGGTGCTGGCAGTCTGAGTCACCCCAATGGAAAATACTGCCGTGCCACCGCATCCCAGTCAACGCGAAGTCTCGAGCATCCAATATTCAAGAGACCCTCGTACTCACCCCTGCTGGGGGAGTCCGCAATGTTGCTGTGCGTAGGTACACGAGCGTACCATGCGTGGATTTGAAGGGATGTCTCCTTTGAGAGGATGCCATCGATAATCACACGAGCGAGTGCAGCGCCTCCGCCCGCGGCTATTATCGAATGGCGAGCACCTTCGTTGTCCACATAAAAAACAGCTTGAGAAAATCTGCACCACTGGCCCCAGAGCCTGTACGCAAGTAGGACAGGCAGAAGCTCAAGCTCGAAAATGGGGTTTTGCGAGTCTCGCAGCAAGATCCTCATGATGTCCTGTGGGACTTGCTCACTGAAGAAGGATATCGGACGGCCATTAAGGCCCACGATCACTCCTCCAATGGATCCCAGCTTTTTCCCGCCTTCGCAGGCTCCATCTGTGAATATGATCCAAGACTGATGGTTCTTTGTAGCAATGGTCACAGGCTCAGCAACCCTCAGCCTCTCGCGAATGACAACAAGACTCTTCCTAACATCTTCAGGCAAACTCTTCGTAGTCAGCCCCGCTCTGGCTGCACGGTCCACCGTTCGGATGGACGAGTTCGACATTCGCCCGAAAACAAACCCCTCGAAGAACACCAACCTGCCTCGGAGCCTTTCAGCAGTTTTGAGGTCGAGACAATTGGCGCTCAAGATGCTTTCGATGAACACACTCAGCTCTTCTCGGCGCTCGGCAGTGTTCCCGATCCTCACAATTCCCCGTTATAGATCCGGTCATCCATGACAATCACATATTTGAATCAAGTATAAGAGTCTTGATCAAATATCGCAGCTTCCATCATATAAAGAATTGTTGACCAAATATATTGGTCCGATCCAAATATATACAAAAGGATATGAAATTGAAGCAAAGACGCTCACACTTCTTTTCACGGCACAGCCGAGAGTCGTGGGGAGTTTTCAAGGAAAACGAAGGTGCACAGGGCGTGCACCGGGCACTAAGAGTGCCCCTCCACTTAAGCAGAGGCACTGGGGTGCCCCCCAGCGTCCAGTCGCACGATGGAGTGCAACGTGACCACAATCTTCCCCCGGGCGGGTGGGCGGGATCAAAAATTCTCTGGCTCGATGACGAGACAGCTTCAGTGGCCACAATTCCGAGCATGAACAAAAGGATGTTTGCCGACAAAGTCAAAAATTCGTCGGTTGCTCAGAGAGTGGGTTCGCAAATCACAATACAAAATTGTGAAAACTTGAACTGCAAAGCACTACTACGAGTAGCGCAGAGGATCACGATTGAAAGTTGTGAAAGCTGAAATGAAAAGCACTACTAAGAGTAGCGCGAGGGATTGTCATGGCCCAAAATTTTGTTGCTAACAAAATTTCGTTTGACCTAGGATCTATAAAACATCGACACGCACGCGTGAAGAGATGCTTATAGATCCGGTCATCCATGACAATCACATATTTGAATCAAGTATAAGAGTCTTGATCAAATATCGCAGCTTCCATCATATAAAGAATTGTTGACCAAATATATTGGTCCGATCCAAATATATACAAAAAGATATGAAATTGAAGCAAAGACGCTCACACTTCTTTTCACGGCACAGCCGAGAGTCGTGGGGAGTTTTCAAGGAAAACGAAGGTGCACAGGGCGTGCACCGGGCACTAAGAGTGCCCCTCCACTTAAGCAGAGGCACTGGAGTGCCCCCCAGCGTCCAGTCGCACGATGGAGTGCAACGTGACCACAATCTTCCCCCTCTCGACTATGCGTTACGTTGCTTCAAGAGTGGCACCTGTGACAAAGCAAGTCGGCACGTCACGAGTAACAGGACCAAGGAATGCCAGCTCCTCCCATCTGCCTCGGGATGGCGGGTCCGCGATGTTGCTCTGGCTCGGTACACGATGAAACCACGGCAGGCACGGGCGTGCTTCATCGGCGGCCTCCAAGTGAAGGAGGAGACTCCTCCAAGATGCATCGATCGAGTTCGAGTTGATGCAAGCACTCAAGACGCCGGAATGGTCGACGAAAAATATGCATCGCTCGCCATCAATGTAACTCGACCACAGGATCCTGGCGAGCACGACCGCGTAAAGCTCGACCTGCCCTATAATGTGTTTCCTACCCTCGGCCCATTGTCTGACGAGCTTGCTAGGAACCCTGCAACCGAAAGCCCTAGCAACACCCTCGCCGGGGACAAAGAGAACCCCACCGACACCAGTACTGAAGCTGCCCTCGCAAGGGTCGCATGCGCCATCTGTGAAGATGAGGACTGGGTTCGAGGCAGGGCTCGTCACAATGGCACGCGGCCTGCTCGCAAGAAGTCTTGCCCTCAGAACAGCCAAGGCATTCGATTGTGTATCCGTCAGGTTCAAGACACCCCCTCTGTCACCGAAGAGCCTGAGGTCGGCCAGGGCCAATCGCCCTGTGCGACCAAGCAGCTGAGCATCTGCGAAGCGAAGCTTTCCAAGAAGGGATGGCAACTCCCGCGTGTCTACCTGGCCCTTTTCAAGGATGCGGCCCAAGGACTGTTCAAGCATGGCAGCTCGTTCAGGCTTGTTCGATACGAAGATGCGGCCCATGTCAGGATCGGAGGTATCCAGCACGACACCCAGCGTTTCTGCAGTGCACGAGAACGGCTTTTCTTTCTCGGACAAGGAGAAGCCAAACAGGTCCATGAGGGCATGAACTGCATTGTCAGTCCCGCCAGACAAGAACGAAGGGGTCATCGTCGGGAAATCGTCATAGTAGCAAGTCACGGCCACCCTCAAATCCCAAAGAACCCTCTGCAGGAATAATGCAACCCTGTTAAACTGCATGACCGAGGCTGAAGCTCCGAAAGGAAGAGTGTTACACACAAAGGCCTTGACGGCGCGGGAGCCCGGCTCCTTGAGCAGGATAATGGATTTCGGCCGCTCGCTAGGGTGCAGTGCGAGCTGCTTGTAGGCAGCTTGAAGATCGTAAGTTTTGCAGTGAGGGCGGACACGGTCAGGGTCCTTCCAAGCCTTATGGAGGGGTCCCTTGAGTCTCTCACCGGTGCTGAGCTCAAGATCGAGGGATCCTGAAGATTTTGCCGCACGGCAAACTTGCATGCACAGCCAGCAGATCTCATCGAGGGCCTTGAGAGTAACACGTTCAAAGCATCCGAAACAAGAGTTCACAGCGGCTTCCGAGAAGTCATCGATCGCACGCCACTTGCCCTGCCAGACTGCAAAACGCCGGCAGGCGTTCCAACCTTCAGGGAAGTTGTCCCCCAAAGAGTCAACGTCGATCGGGCCGTCAAGCCAGCACTTCCCCGATCTGTTAGACTCCTCAAGCGTCATGTTCCAGAGCTCTTCGGCATAGTCATGGTCCTTCTGGGCTCTGACTTTTTCAAGCAGGGTTTCCCTCCGGAGGGGAGCACTTGCCCAGAAATCGTCAAGGTCCATCGTGGCAGGTTTGACATCACTAGCGAATACCCCCGTACGCCCCAAGTACCCCGTTAGCTTAAAGCCGGCAGCCAGGTCATCGAAGAGGGCCGTGTCAGGCCACGACAAGTCGGCGGCGATCCTCTTCATGAGTGCGATGCGCTTACAACCAAGGACCTTCCGCACACAAGGGTCCATCGCCGATCTGATTTTCTCTTCGTCGGGATCAAGCTGCTTGGCGAGGGCTCGCCACTGTTGTAGCTTCAAAAGGCGGTGCTTCATGGTGTCAACTGGGCTCTTCGTAAGAGTGTCAAACAAGACTCGCAAAAGTTCATCTGGAAGTGATTTGGCAGAATCGAAGGGGTGCACAACCAACTTTGCCTCGTTCAAGAAAGCTTGCATGGATCGATAAACGCCGAAAGTGTAGAACTTGTTCCCCTCTGGGAGTCGCGAACCTCCCCTTTCAACTGACTCCCGGAGGAGCTTGGCGCCTGCAGGGACGCCTTGCCAAGAAGCCGAAAGGCAGTGCTTGGAGTTGAGAGTGGGAGCTGCAGCACTGGCGACTGACATAGTGTAAGCAAATTCAGAAATGATTGGCGGAAACTTGCGGCCACGAGGTTGCACCTGACCTGCGGCACGCGCAGCAGAAACTTTGGAGGCCACTAGGCGTTCAGGCGCAATCCCTCGTGATGCAGCTGACCTATCCACGCATGAGACAATCCTTTCACAAAGAAGTTTGGGATAGCCCGTCTCCTCAGCTGTTGCAAAAGAATTGCCCTGCTTACCCCACGGCAAGTGCGAGGAGCATCCCGGGCATGGTCCCGAAAGGCAGTGTAGAAGCTCCGAGTTTGTGAGGAGGGCTGTGGCCTTCTTGCGTTGTGACCCGTGGCGGCACGAGTCGAATGTGACGAAGGAGTGCTTGGCGACCAGCTCGGCCCACCTCGGGAGCTGCCACAGGTAACTGTGAAGAGGGTTTTCAACGGAGAAGGGAACATGCGGCATGGCATGCAGCAGCCAGTCACAGAAGGCGGCCATGCTATCATAAATGGTGTTTGCACTGTCCACTCTCGCCTGCTCCACTGGTGGGAGGCCGGGCAGGCCGCGCACATGACGGACCGAACGCAATGGCTTAGGGCCGGGACCGCACTCCCGAGCCCGGCTAGCGGTGCCGCATGGAGGAGCCATGTGCACCCAAGCAACATCGTACTCGGAGCAAATGCGTCGCAAGAAAGACCAAGTGCTGGCCAGGCGCAAGTCGAGCTGTAAAGTGTGCACACACGCCCGCTGTTTGTTGTGATGCCAGTCGATGGGCACGGCTGTGTATCCGGCCTCTTTGGCAACATAAGACAGCATAGCAGACCCACTACAGATTTCCAGAAACAGCGGTTTCTCATGCCTGGGAGTCCGCTCGGCTTGAGCTTGCGATTTCAAGCGTTTACAAGGAGGGTCGGCGGGTGAGGCGGGACTAGAACCCAAGGGAGCGGGGGCAGTAGGGCTAGACCCAGAAGGTGCACTCTCGACTGGCAAAACAGGCTGAAGAGGCGGAGGGAGCTGTTGCGCTGCGGCAGCAGGAGCACACGGAAAACCCAATGGGAGCAACGTGGCGGGTTGCCCACCTGAAAGAGTGTAAAGTGTTACGACCCACCTCTCACCTGTGAAGGGCATCGTCTTATGCCACAAGTTGCACGGAAAACTAGTGGGGCAACAAAACGTGTCTACGATTTTACCCCTGATGTGCTTATCGCCCGCGACAGTGGCTTGAGAAGTGCCCGACGCATCTTCGAGCCAAAGTTGGCCCCCAGTGAAGGTGCCAAGCGTGAAAGTGTGGTTCAGCGAACCCGCTTGGTTCCCTGAGTCCCTGTGGAAATCTGACAAAGTATTCCTGCCCACGCAGATTGCATTCCAGGAAGCTTGAGGCAGAAGCTCCTTGAAAACGGAGTTCAGGCGCAATACGAAGTCCTGCATGGCAAGGGTGGCATGTGTCAAATGTTGCGGACTGCTGGCCCTGGGCCCAAAGTTGTAATACCCCGACTGCGTGGAGTTCACGGACGAAACAGACTTACGTTGCAACACAGAGTTGGGCCATTCAGCATTCTGAAGCAATTGCAAAAGTGAAGAAAATTTTCTTGTATCCACACTAGCACTCTGCTGACACGGATCAAGATGCTCTAAAGGAGAATCTGTCGGCGCAGGGAAGGCCTGCGGCGATGCAAAACTGTGCCCAGCCAAGCCTGGGCAATCCCGACTCTGAGTCGAGTGCTGCGAGCTGCAGGGCTCGCGTTCCGACTGTCACTCCTGCTTTTGGCCTAGAGCCTCAGCACGCAGCGGACAGTCCAATGCAGGGTGCGACTTGCCGCACTTGGGCCATGCGCAAATGTGCAGGCCACGCACGCATCGACCACGAGTCACGGTTTCTCTGCATGTTTTGAGTCCATACCCAAAACATATGTTTTCACCAGCATTGGTGCATGATCTGCAGCCCGCCAGAGCGGCGGGAACCTTCCCGGATCCTTTGGTGCCCTTGGCACCCTTCCCTGTGCCCTTCCGGCCTTTGCCCGGACGATCATACGGGCCCGGCCCGTGCGGCCTCGGCGGCGGTGCCACCTGCTGCGTGACTGAAGCGCCTGCTGCCCGAGGCATCGGCTGAAGCAGATGAAGCACCTCTGGTGACTGCCATGTGTCCTCGAAGATGGTGTCCAATGGACGCCCCCCAGCTTTGAGCTGGATGCCTGAGCGAGTCGCTTCTCCGAGAAGCTGCCAAAGCTTCCTGTCAGCCTGCTGACACTGATCAAGCGTGGGCTGCATGTGCGTCGACGGAGGTGCGTCGAGGCGCGCCGCAAGAAGGCGCTCAACCCACATGTGGTGACGATGGTAGTCAAGGATGTTCGCCATTTCCATAGCGATGCCGCGCCTTTGAAGCGCGAGCTGCAAGAGCAGCTCCGTGCTTGTATCGGCACGGACCTCAACCTTCGTCTCCGACCTGAGCTTGCCCGTACTGTCCAGCGAGAAGAAAGGCTCTCGCTTTGCCCCTGTTGAGGCCTCTTGTTCTTTGGAAACAAGCTTTTCCCACGGGACAAACTGCAGCTTGTCCTGTTCATACTGGGACACGAAGGAGTCGACGAGGCTATCGGCAGGCTCAAGACGGTTCTTGATTGAAAGGCCCACAAGGCGTTTGCTCACTACCTCGAACCTCTCAGATCTCTCCGGGACGCTCAATTTTCTAGGGATGGATTCATCCGTCCGCTCCACAAGCATCTTCATTTCCGAAGTGGTAACAGCATATGCTTCATGAAATAACCTTCGGAAGGAGCTTTTCTGCCTTACAGAGGGCGGCGTACCGAGGGCCGACTCGAACGCCGCAATGAGGTCCTTGTCATCGCCAGAGCCCGGCGTGTAGCTCGTCATGAAAGCGACCTTTGCGAGTGAATCCACACCCACCTTCTCGAGTTTTTCGACATCCGCAGATGCCAAACCGACCTGGGCACATCGTGATTTGAATACTGGCCCCGACTCGGAGAAGGCCGCCATGGTGTGCTGCTTGGACCACTACGAGCTAAAAGCAGCTGCAGGAGGGCTTTGCTCTTCATCAAATCACTCATCTTGCAGGACACGACATCCGCCAGATCTCTGCTCTTGCACAAATGACAACACTTGACCGGCTTGCGGAGCGCACGTGCACGACATCACCCTTTTGCACAAAATTGCAGGCACGAGCCGGATGCAGAGTCATGTGCCCTGCTGCACAATCAAGTATCTCCTGAAGCACTGCTTGCACCTTGGATGCAAAACTGCGGGTCGCGCCTCCAGCTTCCTGTACTGACCCGAAATGGTCCTACCGCAGCCTAGGTTGGCACCGGCTTCGTCGGCAGTGATGTGCACTACCCTGGATTGGCGATGCCGAAAGAAAACACACGAGGGATCAATCTTGTCAAGGTCGACCTTCCCATGCCAGTCCAAAGCCTCGGCAACACAAGCTTCATCCCCTGAGTGGTCGATCTCCTCCTCGTCCTCGGAGCCCTCGGAGTCTGACGACTCGATCTCGTCGCCAGGGGGATCGGCATGCGCCGACAGCTCGGAAGCAAGCTGCTGCCCCCTTGGTTTGTCGGGCTTGAAGGCCCCGGACGACACCTCGTCGATCATAGATGACAAAGCCCTGAGCGGAGCCGACTGGGCGTCGGACTCATAGATCAGCTCTGATCCCGCACCCGAGGCTCGGGACGTATGATACCCCAAGAGGGCCCTCTGTTCTCTGGGCAGACCACGCTTGCTTGCCCAGCTCAGCAAAGTTCTCTTAAGGCTATGTGTCCCTACATTTGCAAGGTAGGGATCGCTCTGAGCGTTCCCCAGCAGGCTCCTGAGCCACGAGCAAGCCTGATCGCACGGAAGCGGGATCATCTTCCACGAACCATTCGAAGAAGGGCAGGGGAGCAACGGGTCGTTCGGCTTGATCGCAAGACCCGCCTCTGCCAAAGCCTCAAGCCACGCATCGGCCCATGCACACTTGATGCCCACTTTCCTGGCAGCCATTGGCAAGTACCTGGTCTTGCGTTCCAAAGTGAAACTAGTCTTGGACCTGCCCACACTGCACTCCAAGTAGAGCGGCGAATCATTCAGCGATGCTACGTTTTGCCCGTCACTGTATCTAGCCCTTGCATAAATCAAGAAAAGAAAGAAGCCTGCAGCGATACGGTCCTGCAAAGACCTGTCTTCAAGCTTGCAACAAATCCTTTCAAGAAGAATGACATCGGAGACCCTCAGAGGATTCCGTTGCTTGAGCTTCCTCTTCTGCATGTAAAGCTTCGACGCGAGGCCGCGGACGCGACCCGAAGTGTAAACCTTGTCACACCCTTCCAGACCTACCACATGCTGAGCGAAAGCAACGGAAGAAAGAAGGCTCCTGAACGAAGTTGCCGCTGCTGTGGACTTCTTCTCCTCGAAGTATGCGTAGACAGCATGCTCGGTCAAGGGAAAAACAAACGGCATGTTCCCCTTTGCCCAAGAAACAAACCGCAACAAGCAATTCGCCCTGGCATTGATCGTCGAAGTGGCCTTGGCAGCAAGGCAATCCGAAATGCTGTCTGCAAGTGATCCTGAAGAGATCCCTGACGCCTTGCCGGCGTAGAAGTTCCTAGCTACACCGAAGGTCAAGGGCTCGACCATGACCAGGCTGAGCCACTTATTCACGGCAAGATTTCTCTCCTCATTGATCATAACCTCCCAAGAAGTATGTTTGAACTTGGCCATTTTAGCACACACTTGTTCAAGCCCTTCCGACCTGACGAAGCGAGGGTTCGGCACGGCAGGCTGATCGGCAGAAGGGTTCACTGGGACTACAAGGGGGAGAGGTCCAAGAGGAGGCGGCAAGCGGGGCCTAGGGTCGTGGGCTAACAGCGTATTACCCCAGGGAGTCTTCCACACTGACTTGGAGTCCCGCAGGCAGGATCTGAGGTGAAGGCCAAAACTGGAAGCTAGGGAGCCTCCTTCGTCCCCCATTTCACTACGGCTCCCTCAAGCAGACTGCAAAGGCGGCTCGAGAAACGACCTGAAGGCAGAGCGCAGGCTCTGAATGAGACCCTCAAGCCACGACAGGCGCTGATGATGGCCCGTCTGGTTCACCCAGACGCGAGAGAGGCTGTCCTCTAGTGCTTGCACCTGGGACCTGAGAGCTTGCACCTGAGGCCTTAGTTCGTTAACCTCCAGCTGGAGCTCGTAGATATGCCGACTCAAAATCTCCTGCGTGCTCTCAGAGCTTGGCTCGGAACGATGGGACGAACCTGCGGCGAGCGCGTCGCCGAAGTCCATCTGACACCCCGCGCCAGGGCGGGGAGTCGTGACGCCCTAAAGCCTTGAGATAAAGGGCCTGGAACCTGCTAGGACGCCGTTACAAGCCCCTAGCGGAGTCCCATCAAAAATTCTCTGGCTCGATGACGAGACAGCTTCAGTGGCCACAATTCCGAGCATGAACAAAAGGATGTTTGCCGACAAAGTCAAAAATTCGTCGGTTGCTCAGAGAGTGGGTTCGCAAATCACAATACAAAATTGTGAAAACTTGAACTGCAAAGCACTACTACGAGTAGCGCAGAGGATCACGATTGAAAGTTGTGAAAGCTGAAATGAAAAGCACTACTAAGAGTAGCGCGAGGGATTGTCATGGCCCAAAATTTTGTTGCTAACAAAATTTCGTTTGACCTAGGATCTATAAAACATCGACACGCACGCGTGAAGAGATGCAGGGGCATCATTCAAATCCACTTTGACTCCCAACAGCTTAAATTCTCGAGAGAACGGTGGTGCTTTCTTGCCTTCCCGAGCAAAGTCAACTCCGAGGAGATCGAAGATGGCACATATGCAGGAGTCGGTGTTGGCAACAAGTTCATCTCGAGTCGTGACTCCGAAGTCGTCGAAAAAGGCTGTCCAGAAGATGCTGAACAGCCTCATGCCTATCAGCCATATGCTCAACGAGATGCGTAGGAAAGCCGCAACACTGCCCACCGCACCGAACGGCAAGGAGTTCGCACCCATGATCATGGGCTCCGCCTCGCCCGGTTTGTTCACCGCAAATCGAAAGAGCTCCCGGTCTGTAGGGTGGATTCCAAACTGTTTGTATGCACTTTTAAGATCGTACACGCGACCCTTGCACGCAGGCAACTTGCCATCGTTGATGCGTAGCGCCTTGGAAATCCAAGCGGCATACCTATCAATCGAGTGCATTTGGAAACCATACTTCAAGCCAACAGTTGCGTTGATACCGCAGATACTGGCGTCATCTATGACGCGCACCTTGTCAAGCTGTCTGATTCCAAATCTACGGGCCAAAGCGCACAACTCTATGCAACTTTTTGTGTCAGCAAAAATCCACCCTTTTTGCAGTTCCTTCTCAGTTTCTTGCCATGTTGCCTTTTCCAAGTCTTCATCCTGCCGGACGCGCATTTTCTCGGCCGTCGACTGATTTAGACCTTTTGCCAAGCATCTAAGGGTGGAAACCGAAAAAGAAGGGGGCCTAACCTTTGGAGGGAAAAGCCCTCCTTGCGACAACCAACCCGACAACCTAAATCCCTCACACATGTGGGAGATGAGCTGGTCGTCTGGTGATCCAGCCGCTTTGTGCATTTCCTGCCACAAGAGTAGCCGCTTGCCCTCCAGCAGCGAACGCAGGTGCTCTGGCAAACTCTGGTGTAACTCCTCTTCTTTTTGCTCTAACTGTTTGGCTCTGGCAGTCCAATGCTTTAGAGCAGCAACCCTAGAGGTCACGGTTTGCGCTGGCGGATCGCTAAAGTTTGCTTTGATTGACTGTATGACCAGCTTTGACACATGTGCACTTCCGTCCCTAGGATGGCCGGCTTGCACTGCTCGTTGCACGAATGCCTCGGGCTCGGAAGGTAGGCCAATTTTTACCAACTCACCCTCAAGCAACTCTGATTTGCCATCCGCCAATGTAACTTCACTAGAGGAAATGCTTAGGGTCTTACAAGCCTCTTCATAACCCCTATCAAAGGTCAGGCGAGACAAGACCCGAGACCCTTTAGGCAGTCCATCGAGGAAAGATGCATCGGTTGAAGGAGGGTCAGCAGGCACAGCCACAAACTTGAAAGACACAAATTCATGCACCAAAGGTGGGTTGCGCCGTCCGCGCGGCAATGCGTTCAAAGCCAGTCGTCCATCGAAGGTGGAATCGGACTCTCGGGTTTGAGAGACCGTGGCGAATTCTTGAACCCCCGACTGGAGAAGGGAAGCTTTGACTTTGGCTATGACCCGCTGACAGAAAAGACCGGGCAAACCTGGAGGCGGGTCACCAGTCTTTCGAGGCACCCACGGTGCATGGGAATGCAGGCCCGAGCACTTGAGAGCCAGGGGTGACCAATCACCCTGTGCTGTGGCCATCTGATAAGGCCGAGGGCGGCCGTCACCATGACAACACAGGTCACATCGATGCAGTTGCAAAGGGAGACTTTGAATCAGCTGAAGGATGAAAGGATCATCCCAGAACTGAGATTTTGGAGAACCCGCAATAACAAAGGGAATCCCAAGGTTCGCGGCAAGTTCACCGAAGGTGCAAAGATTTGCAGCCCAAGAGGAACACGGTTGCGATGGCAGCTCACACCAGACAAGAGCAAGTCGATTTTTCTCGGCTTCGACAAGTTTTTGGAAGCTTTCAAAGTCGCTGCCCAAGTCAAGTGGTAGGCATCTGACCCCATGCACAAACGCTGGGGGAGCACTGCACAGTATATGTCGCATGCCTGCAGCAAGAGCCGTGCGATGCAGATCAGCAGTGCGACCATTCACCTCAAGAAACAGGTATTCTCCGACATGTCCCAGATTTACCGGAGCATCGGCGGGCACCGGGCTTCTGGATCGATCCTGCAAGAGATCACGCTTGATCGGCGTCCACACATGCGGAGCCACGGGCTTAGTGGGATTAGGGCTAAACCTTATCTCAGGCGGTATGGCTCGCTCCTCGGCAGCATAGCTGGTTGTAGCACCGGACGGTGCAGTACGGGAATCATCCGAAGGGGGGGGACTAAACCCAAAGGCATTATCTGGGAGAGACACGGTTTGTGATGCACACTGGAAGCCGAGATCAAGCAGCCTCTGCCGATCATCGCTTGACACTTTTTGGAAGTCCCTGACAGTGTATCCGACCAGCACTAGACGCCGCCCCGTCCAGGGGAGCGTAGCATGAAATAAGTTCCTTGCATCCAAAGTGATTTTATCATCCTCCCAGGGAATCGCATGACCCTTCAAGACACATCACCTTCAACCCACACGGCCCCTCCTTGGAATTCGGACAACTTCAGCAGGATGTTGCAGCAGCAGTCGTCGTTGTTGGAATCGCGATGCACCTCGGAAGAACAGTCATCTAGGATAATAAAGCTTGTAAAGAACTCGCCCGGAGCAAACCTCCGGAGGTGCGCCGCGAAGACAGCACACACGTTTGGAAAAAGGTTCGTATTGGAATGAAGGCCGTAAAGGCCCCCTTGTGCATACGCCCCAGCACCGAAGGAGCGTCCAACGTTCCCCCGTGGAGGGTTTTGCATGGGTAGCAGCTCAATCAGCTGCAACAGCGAAGATTGGTCGAAAGGACCGGTCATTTGCAAAATGGACGCGGCAAGAGACTCCACATCACTCGAGGCTCGCGAAGCTTCACTCGAGGCAGCGGGAGTCGCCTCTACCCGTCACGAGAAGCTGTGGCCGGCCTTGTGGCATCCGGCACAAACATGATATCCCTTCGCACACCTAACTCCGTGAGCATCCTTCTTTGTTTCAAGAGAACACCCCTCAGCGAGGTTGAAGGACCAACAGATAGGCCCCGCCTTGATCTTGGTGACACATCCTTTCAAAGACTCTGGCACAAGGTTTGTGAGACGCTTGCGCTTTTTCTTCTTGTTAGCCTTCTCAGCCAATGCTGCGGCAGCAGCTGCATCGGAAGGGATGGAAGGAGGTGGAGCGACTCTCTGAGGTTGTGGTGCCGTGACAAGGTGAACGACTACGCGAGGGTCTTTGGCCAGCCGCCTCAAAGCAGCCGCCATCACCAGCTCGCCAGCCGCATCTTTTACCCCGATCGGTCCCTCAATCTCACGGCTCATCAATGTCCAAGCCTCCCGGTCTGCCCTGATGACTTGGGCAATCGCGGGCCTGGCCCCGGACACTGGCTCTCCATGAGGATAGGACATAAGGCTCTGTACGTACCACTCATGGTCCGACCAGCCGATGAGGCTACACTGATCCAAAGCCAAACCTCGCCTCTGGAAACAGTAAAGAAGTTGCAAGGCAGTGGTGGTATCAGCATCAGGTAACTTGTTGCTGGCACTAACTTTCAAGGTGCCTGCTTCAATTTGGACCAACGATGTTTTCTCCTTCCCTAGCTGTTGCACCTCAGCATCACGCTTTGTGCAACGCGAGGGGCTGATCCAAGTGATGCTGTTGGATTCGGCCATGAGGGCACAAGCATCCACCAGCGCGTAGCTGGGCTGCAGCTCCCCCTCTATCAGAAGCCCGGGCAGTCGGGACTTTTGCGAAGTCAAACGTGCCTGCTTCTCAACATGTGGCAACTTACGACCAGCAAGATCTGAATCATCCGCTGTCGCCTGGGCTCGCAACTGTGCCACCACCAGTGTAGAGGCTTCAAAGATAAGCATGCGAACGTTCGCAATCTGTCCGATCGTCGGTTGAGTACCTTCGGCACATTTGTAGACTTTAGCCGCAAGGTTCTTTAGATCATGATCCGATGGGGGCGTTTGGGGGCTCCCAAGTGCAAATGCTAACTGACGCAGCGTCTTCACTCCATTGGCCTTCAGAGACTCGAAAAGTGAGTCGTCCCCCTCGATGGGCAGGCACCTCTGTTTGAGCGAAGCCTCACTGTCAATTAGAGCCATTGCGCAGAGAAATCGAAAAGATGCCGACACAAAATTGGAGTGCACTCACCTGACAAATTAACTCATGAGTGTCCTACCACAAAGAGCTCGCAACAGGCTTCAGATTGAACCGCACGCGCGCTCAAGACAGCTCACACAGTGACTTCACCTGACGCCCTCAGCTCAAACGAAGCAGCTCAGCTCACTCACTGGAGAACAGATTTTCTCAGTTACCAGCAGCAGCAGACCTCATACACTGGCTACACACTCCTGTATCATACCTCATTATGCCAGGGGCGACATATGCTTGCGAGATCGGCCTTCCACACATCAGACGCCGAACATACCCGTCCTTCTTCAAGTGACAGATCCTGGACTTTGTATGCCTGATGAAGCTGGTCCCCTCAGGCGCTGAAGGAGGATGCAAAAGACGCGGCGGTCTGGGGCCCGCCCCACTTCCGTCGCTCTCCGATGAACTGGAGGCCCCTTCTGCCGAAGAGTCCGGATTTTCGTCGTCGGTGACTCTGGGCTCATCACCGCCCAAGTCTGCCAAATCGCCCAAGCCCCCTGCTGCAGAAAGCCGCTCCTCGGGGTCATCAGCCTCGAAGTCAAACTCTCCGCCGAAGCCCTGAAAATCAGCGGTTTCAATCTGCAAATCTCCCTGATGCACGATTTCCTGATCGCGGTTCTGCCCCTCACTCGGGGCTGAGACGTCCCTCACTTGATCCCACCAAGCCTGCTCAAGCTCTTCTGAAGAGGTAAATCTTCCCGAACGAGTGTTGTCTGGGTGAAAGCGTCCATCCCTCACCCACTGCAACATCCGGCTTAACTCAAAGAGCGGACCTGCGGCTGCGTCACGGCTGTAGCGGAAAACAGTCTTGCTGGTCCCTACATGATATCCCAGACACGCCCTGACATCTTGAGATGCTCCAAATTTCGCCATCCAAGAAAGGAGCGTGCATTTCGCAGAGTGACTGGACAGCTTCCTGTTGGCCTCCGCCGCACCTGGAAGGAGCTTCCTGATCCAAGCTGACATTTCACCTGACGAAAGCGGGCGCACTGTGGGACGCCCTGTAACGTCTGGTGCTGGCATAGCGGGCCAACCACTTGTGCAAGGCTTGAAACCCAAAGACTCGCACCGGCTAATCCAACGTTCAACCCACTGGCTTGATGTAACCCCAATGCACGGGCCGGTCATCGTCAAGAACTGGTGTCGATGCTGTCTCGACTGCATTGATTTGTGATGGCCAGTGATCAGATCGATGTAGCACAAACGACCTAAAGCATCCCGATCCAATTGCAAATCCTCGCAGCACTGCAAGTCAGCCCATCTAGACCTCAAGTAGATGGCGGTCAATACGGCTCCAGCAAAAGCTGCATCCCAGTCGTCAGGAGCCTGGTGCACAATCTCATGCAACTCCAAAACTTCCTCTAGGGAGAAAGGCGAAGCTTGATTGACCCGTGCTCGCGGCTCGACATAACATACTCCTTGGCACCTTCTGCTAAAAACCAGCTCCTCACACTCTTCAATGTTCAAGACGTAGTAGCAAAAGTTCAAAGCTTCAAGGATGCCCTTCCGCCCGGACTGGGCCTTACCTTTGGCACGTAGCTTGCACAAAGCGTCATACAGATGTTGCTCACCTGGAGGGAAAAGGAGCCCTTCCTCCGAGAGCAGTTTGTCAAGCAAGAAAAGAGATGAAGCCCTCTTGTTCAAAGTACTAGGGGCCTTTGGTCTCAAGTAATCAGCCAGGATGTCCATGCCTTCCACCACAGTGGCGCTAGAGACTTGCTTCACCACCAGAAGCTCTGACTTCCAAAGCAAGACCAAATTATACCACCTCTTTATAGCTTTCTGTGTTTGACAATCCAAAGCTTCCTTCCAAGACAAAACTTCGATGTTTTGCACACACTGCAGATACAGCCTCCTACCAGCAATAGTCGGCTGCAGGATCTTACGAAGTTCCACATCCATAGGGCGATCTGTAGCAGCGGGTCTGCAGAGGGCCGAAGCACTGAAATCTTTGAATAAGTCACATGATGGCAACAAAGTACTCAACGGGTCTTCGGGCTCTTGGGGCCGCAAGGAATTCCAGGCCGCACGAACCTCCTCCGCGAAGTCGTGCTTATTCTCCCCCATAGCAACCACACGACGCAGCAAGGACTATTTCTCAAGGCAGGGGCCGCAGACCAGCGTTCACATCAAGAATGTCCTCGTATCCATGCGACGCCCCGCCCCTGCTCGCAAAGCTTGAGGGTTCATGCACGGCAACAAAGACATCGCGCAAACCTTCATGCTAAACTTGGCATGTACTGAAAAAGGGTTCGTGCCGAACAGCAGGAAAAATTTTACAGTAAAAGTTTTCACTAATTTCGTTTCAAACGAAATTTGCTTTTGGAAATAAAGGTTTCATCCTTGTTAGAGGAGTTCGAGCTGTGTTGTGGCTCGGCCTCTCTTTCGCATGCCGCCGCATCTCAAGGATGGCAGGTTTTTCCTATTGATCATCATGGAAACCGTTTTGAGCCCAAAGTGTCGTGCTTGCCCATCGATTTGGGCGCACTTTCTTCGCACCGCTTGATTGACGACATGATTCATCAGCTCAGGCCCCTTTGGCTCCATTTTGGACTGCCGTGTGGCACTGGAAGTCGCGCTCGTCAGCTGCCCATCAGCTCTGCGTTGCGGGCGCAGGGCGTGCCACAGCCTCGACCGCTCCGATCGGCCAAGTTCCCTTTGGGTTTACCTGATCTTAAGCCCCATGAACGTCTCAGGGTCGAGGCTGCCAACGCTGTGTACGGCACTTGCGTGCGGGCCTTGTTTGCTGCTTGGAAGGTCAACGCACTGGTGACCATCGAAAACCCTGCGCGGGCATGGACATGGGCCGCTCTCGCTGCCTTGATCTGCCGATTTGCGCGTGACAATTCTTGTCCCGCCTTCGCTGATTGGTACTTCGAGCTTCAGGATGTGTCCCTCTCCCTGTGCATGTTCGGCGGGAGTCGCCGCAAGGACACCCGCCTTCGATGTACGCCCAAGGTCTTCGAGGTTCTTTCGGTCCCCTGCGACGGGAGGCATTCTCATGTTCCTTATGGGCAAAAGATGCGTATGGGCACTTGGGTCTTCGATACCTCGTCTGAGGCTCAATACCCTCGTGTCTTCTGCCGAAAGCTCGTGCAGGCGGCATCTGCTGCTGTGAGTCCGGCTTTGTTCCGTGAGACCACTCGGAAATTTAGATTGGACACGCTTGCTGCTGCAGGAGCCCAGACCCTAAAGCATGCCGCCCTAATCCCTGAGTTCCGGCAGATTGTTTGGGCCGACCGCGCGCCCAATCCCGATGCCAAGCATTTGCCCGACATGGTGCCTCCCAAGGATACGGATACTGCCTCGGCCGAAGGCGCTGCTAGACCTTCCTGGCCTGTGTGCACTGGCCCGGCTCCTGTGAACTCTCCCGCTCCTCTTGATGCCCATGCGGTCGAGAAGCTTGCTTGGTCGTTGCTCCAGCAGAAGACCTGCGCGCAGGATGATGTTCTGCAACTTGTCAACCTCTTGGAGCCCTCTCAGCGCTCCCGTCGTGGGGCCACTGCTGACGGATTGGCATGGACCTGTGGTGCCTATGTTTTCTCTTCCCAGGCGGGCCTTCACAGTGTGTCTCGATCTATGCCACACGTGTGCCGCCTTCTGGCGGCTATTGTTCAGCACTTCGCCCCAGGTGCCGTGTACTCTTCATTGGCCATCTTCGACGACTTCTACGGCCCTGAACATGTTGATGCTCACAACGACCACAAGTTCTACAACGTCATCATTCCGCTCTCCCGCTTTTCCAATGGCGGCGTGCGTGTGAAGGGTCAAACCCTGCCTGTTCATGCAGAGCCATGCTTTCTTCAGACACGCTTCACGCATCAGGTTATGCCGGCCCAGGGTCGACGCACAGTCTTGGTGGCATTCACGGTTCGTGACTGGCACCGTCTTCCGCCCCAGGATCTGGCGGCTCTTCGTGACATGCACTTTGCTTGGCCCGGCCTCTCTGACTGCCCCTCCAATTTGGCGGGGGAAGGCAAGGTTGGAGGACCAGTCTTCTCCCCGAATCCCAGTAAGGCTTGGGGAGTGTATCACACGATGCAGGAACACTTTGATCTGGCAACCAAACTGGAGCATCCCGCTGAGTCGGCAAGCACCGTCCCTGATTGCATAAGAAGGGCGATCTTCGACTTGGCTACCAAGGGCCCAAAGGAGATTGCGAAGATGAGGCATGAGACCCTCTCGAGCATTGAGGCGAGGGCAAACGAGCTTGGGACCGGCGAAGACCACCCCATCACGGGGGGCAAGTGTCTTCAGCTCTTTCGGGAGCTGATCGAGGAAACTGGTTTTCCGGACAAGGAGGTTTGCCGCTTCATGGAAGAGGGAGTGTCTCTTGTGGGGGCCGAGGCTCCGTCTCCTTTGTTTCCGACCAGGCCCAAGCCCATGAGGGCCACTCCCGAGCAGCTTGACTCACAGGCCATTTGGAGGCGCCGTGAGCTCCTCTCAAAGCCGCCTCAAAAGTTGTCCCAGGAGGAGCTGACCATCTTGAATGATGAGACAGACGAAGAATGCCGATTGGGTTTTCTCGAGGGGCCGTTCGATTGCGAGGAGAAAGTGACTGAGAGGTTGGGAACCAGCCAGTGGACTCCAAGTCAAAGATTTCTGCTCTTGCAGGGAGAAGCAAGAAAGCCGCGTGTCATTGACAACTTGAGGGACTCTGGCGTCAATGCATCGTTCGGATCCACATCCCTGCTGCAGCTTCACGACCTGGATTTCGTCGCCTCCATGGCTCTCTTCGTTGCGAAGGTTTGGAGCGACAAGGAGAAGGTGCGTGTTTCCCTTCAATCGGGTGAGGTCCTCGAAGGCGAGTGGCACCCTAAGAGCAGAGATGCGCATTGGGTTGGGAGATGTCTTGACCTATCTAAAGCCTACAAGCAAGTGCCGGTGGCTACATGTTCGCTGAAATACGCTGTCATTGCCATGCCATCACGAGAATCAAAATGGACCTTTT